ACTTTTATGTAAAAGTCATGGCCCAAGTTGACAAACCTTACCAACATAGCCTATTCATAGATCTATGTGGATTTTATGTACCAACAAGTATGTGATTAAGATATTTGCTGGGAATCAACAAGAACAATCAACTTAGACATTCAACTTCACCTACAAGTTCAACAACTAATCAAACAATCTTCATGTACATTGAAATTGAACCCCGAAGGATATTTAGCTACTCATAGTCGAATAAAGAACTAAAACACAGAGAGAAAACAAAGATTTCATTTTCACAAAGTCGAGAGAAAGAAAACTCTATGAGAGTGATTCACCGCCAATTTCGATCTTGCTCTGGGTTGTCTTGTTGAAATGATCACCAACCTTTCCCTTGGTTTTGTCTTTTTATCTAGAACCCTAGTAGCCTCCTTCAAGATCTGATAGATGTTTTTGGGGCGTACATAGGGTTTTCATTGTGAAAAATCGCGATCGCTCCGTTCCCATCCGCTCTGTAGAGTGGTGCAGAAAGAAAAGTTGTAGCTCTCGGTTGTTTTTCTCTTCTGAATCACTCCGTGGAGTGGTCCTCTTCACTCTGCAGAGTGCTTGGTGATTTTACCAACTTTTCTTTAAGTGCATAAGTTATCCTTTCCCTCACCTTTCAAACGTATTTTGCTCATATTACTTCTGTAAAAGGGATAACAAATAAACCATATTATGTAGTAGAAAATTCATATAAAATTACATGCTTTAAAGCAAGCTCAACACGATTAACAGGGTGATTCATATGTAAATTACCTTCTTATCAGATAATTTTAGAAATTAACCTCGCCGGAGCTCGTCGACCAAAACATCGCCGTCACAATTGAAAATTAGGTACGATTGAATTTGTTTATAAGAATGGGCAGTTAAGTCATTTTATCTCATTCAATCTTGACTTTTTTGAAACTAGACTATTTTTTTGGGACAAGAATTTTTATTAAACTGGACGATTTTTCTGGTATGCAGGGATTATTATTTTTCCCCGAACTCCTGCCATAGATCGGGGGTAATGCCATTTTTTGACACCTTTCTCTTACATACCGGACACTCTTTGAGGAATCATGAGCTGAATTATTAAAGTTTAGCCATTCATAGAGGCAACGCCAGCAAAAGAGGTGGCTGCAACTTGTTACAACCAGGTCTTTAGCTTTATCAAAACTGATTGCGCAATCAAAACATGACCCTTCTTCATCAGAATTAGCGAAAAGTTTTTCTTTTCCAAGAGCCTTGTTTACTAAAGTCTCTGTGCTTTCTTCAATATGCCTACCACTTATTTGATCCTCCCTTTTTTTGCACCATCTAGCTTGCAATTTTCTCTTGAATCTCGAGTAATGCTTAATCCGAGATTCATGGCATTTGAGTTCTCAGGATCTCCCATTCTGTAAAATTAAATGATCAAATTATATACTCAAATAAATCAAATGCAAACACGCTCCATGTTCCAACCCGACATGGAAATTAGAGAAAGCGAATTTGTAGTGGTGGAAAGATTAGTGACGAAACTGAGTTTGACTCAAAATCCACAAAGAATTGGGGCAAACCATAAAAAATGTTTAGTAAAGTTTTTCTCAGCAGTCGGCACACACACTCACACAGTGACTCAAGCCATACCAAAAAGGATAGAACACAAATACTAACACACGTTGCAGATGCAAGCATGCAATCACAAGTGTTGAACTGTTTTGATTAAATGTGACCGACAAAGAATAGAAACACAAGAAAAAATATAAAAAAATTTTAGAGTTGTAACACATGAACGAAGGACAAGGATTAGATTGGAAAGTAAAGTTTTTTTTTTTAATTAAAAGGTTGGAGCGATGTTCAAGTTCCGAGCTTGCCCAAAAACACTCAAGGGGTATACCCAAGAGATAAATCTTTGAGCAAGTCAGTGCTAAACAATATAACTGCACCCAGAGGTATACCCAAGATGAACAGTTATACTATCTAGTTCCCTAGATCGTTCTTCCTTGTTTTTACTTATTGCAATTGACAAAAGAGAGACTTAATGCAGAGTATGGATCTAACCCTAAGCATTTTATAATAAGAAGCCTTCCAAGAAATTCGGAACCCTAGAGAAATGAGATAAAAACTATCTAATTCTTAGATATGGTACAGGAAGTCTATCTAAGTGAGCTTTTCCACGCCCCGATGCCGGAAGATCGGTAAGATTGTTATATTGCTTTGAGACCCCTGCAGAAGCTTGCCTAGTAAGTTCATCAGTAATACTATTTGCCTCTCGAAATATGTGAGTAATTCTGGATCGAGAAATTCGCAACATTTCTTATATCCCACTGAAGTAGTGATAACTTAGATTGGAAAGTAAAGATGTTCTTTTAGCCAACTTAGATTAATCATGTGCAAACTAAATAAAAATTTTTGAAATTTACGACCTCGCCCAACTTAGATTAATTGTTTTAATGGAACACGATAATGTTTCCCTCTCTATCCAGACGTCACAGAAGGGAGAAGAATCCAACATCAACTTCTCTTCCTCAAAATGAACTGCAAAAAAAACTCAAGTTAAGTAATGTCGATTTGTACAAGGAAACCCCAAATCAGTCCAATGAAAAAGAACAAAAGGAACAAAAAAAAAAAAAAAAGAAACAAACAAACAAACAAAACAAAACACTTTGGGAAACCATAATTCTTTTCATAGGATTTCTACATATACACATTTCTGAGGCCATCAAAGCAGGAATAAAATATTTTTAGAAAACTAAGTTTCCATCAACTCTGCTCTAACTTCTAAGAAGATTTATTCACCGATAGTGACGAATTTTTTATTTTATTTGCTCTGTAATTTATAATGAACAAAGTTAATAGCAGTTGTTCTATGGGGCACCCAGTGCTACCTTCTTTTTAATCTGGTTCAGCTTCCATGATTGTCAACGTGAAATTTAAAATTAAAAATTAAAAAAAAAAAGATGGAAAAGATCTAGACATATCCCATCATAAAAGTTTAAAATAAATTAGATAATATTTGTTGGTTGAGATATCCAACCGTCCCTAATCCATAGAGATTTAATTTTTTAAAAAAAAAAAATAATCACAAAACATATGCCACAGTCAATAACATCAGCTTTCCGCCGATTTGCATCCAGCTTCATTAGCCTCTCCCCTCTCCTTATTCACGTTTCCGCCGCTACCAACACCACCATCAATGCTGTAATAACCTATGTTTACCGTTGGGTTTTAGTGTGTGAAATAAAACTAAAAACTGAAAAGTTGTAACCCAAACTTAGTTCAATCTTCCTAGGACCAACTAAAGGGTATCAAGGGATTAAAAGCGTACGAAACATGACAAGTATTCATGAAAGGTTACATTGGTGACTTGGAACTCAAGGGTTATAAGCCTTTATTTGTATTCTTTCAATTCCTAGTGTCTACCTATAAATAGGTGAATTACTGCAGGTTTTTGGTAAGTCTTTTTGCATTCCTAAATTCTGAAAAAAATATTCAATAATTACAAAATTGCATGTTCTTGTGCTTTTGTATCCTAGGAAAATTGCCAATCAAACTTGGTTTTGCAACATAGTGGGAGCAAAATATTGCCTTAAAGACAGTAATTACACACTTAGAGCACATCAAGATCTTTGTAATTCCCCCTTTATCCCCCACTTAGTTTGTGATATAAAACCAAAAACTGCAAAAGTTGCAACCCAGACTTGGTTCAATCTTCCTGGAACCAACTAAAGCGTGTCAAGGGATTAAAAGAGTACGAAACACGACAAGTATTCATGAAAGGTTACATTGGTGACTTGGAACTCAAGAGTTATAAACCTTTATTCGTATTCTTTCAATTCCTAGTGTTTGCCTATAAATGGGTGAACTACTGCAGGTTTTTTGTAAGTCTTCTAGCATTTCTAAATTCTTAAAGAACAAGAAATAATTGCAAAGTTGCTTGTTCTTGTGCTTCTTCATATCCTAGAGACAAATTCCCAATCAAACTCGATTTTGCAACATAGTGGGGGCAAATATTGTCTTAAGTACAGTGATTACATGCTTAGAGCACATCAAGATCTTTGTGATTTCTCCTTTACTGTCACACTCAAACTTCTATAAATAAAGTTCCATCTTTTTCATCTTGTTCTTTGGTGTCTTTTGTATTTTCTCCTTTGATAATACTCCTACTATTCTTTCATTTACACATTCCGAAATTTATTTAAAATCTCATTCCATGATGAAGTCCTCCTGTCAAGTCATGGAGGAATAAAATCCTCAGCGAGGTGGCCATCATCCCATCCAAGAGGCTCAGGAATAAAATCGCCGGGTTTTCCACCCATCTCACAAAACGGTTCTTGTTAACATAGTTTAATTAATCTTTTGATATATCATTTGTGTGAAACAACAAGAATTGTTGCTTATGTAGGAAGGGTTTTTGATTGATTTATAATATCAATATTCTTTGATTCGATTTTTCCATATCTACTAACATTACTAATTGTTGAGTTTTTCCCTAACAACTGGGACTCAAGTTAGTACCCATCGTTTATTGTTAGACTAACATATAATATATTATATCGTCCTCACAACGTGCGAGGTTAATACTAATATAGTTAAAGGGAATGTAGATGTTTTAGGTGTTCGTATTTCTGGCAATTTGAAAATTGCTTAGAAGGAAATGACTTGTTGAATTGATATATATTTTCATGAATCTTGTTTTAGGTGTTCGTATTTCTGGCAATTTAAAAATTGCTTAGAAGGAAATGACTTGTTGAATTGATATATATTTTCATGAATCTAGCAGATTATTTGGCATCTATGATAGATTCGAGTTTTGAGAATTTACAATAGAAACACAATCCTAAATAAGGAGTTAGGTTAGAGCATGACGTCATTAGAATGTCTCATCCACAAGTTATCTTTTTACTTTAAATTTTAGACATTTGCCTGTTATTTTGAATCAAAAAAATAAAAGAAAATTATTAGCATAAAATGAAAGTAGGAAAATAGATCATTACGAAAAGAATAAATGCTCAGTAGGAAAATTATTTACTTCCCAAGTTATTTAGGAGTTACTGAAAATCTTGTTCCAACCACATTAATAAATCATCATATAAGCGTGTAACCATACATGGAAACATCGTCGTGATGACGAAAACAAAAATCTCCCATTTCAATATACCAATGTTCCCGGAAAACTCAAAAACAAAAAAAAAAAAAACCATGCACATACTAAAAGCTCGAGTGCTCGACTATTCTACAAGTTCAAAAATTACAATTTTGCCGACAATCCAATTTACAATTGTATTCTAATCCTCTGAAATTATAGAAAAACTTATGCGAGTTTTATTCTCCGAACTGGGTTGGCAAAATCATACAACAATTGTACCCAAAGAAACTATATGAGACATCAACCACAAATTCAGCCCAACAAATCTTTAAACAAATTGGGATTTTGACCGGTTGGTGTCACACCCAGCTGCCTTACGAGTGCATCCCTTTCCAAGGAGTCTTTAGCATTGGGTCCCTTACTCAAATGCTGAGTTGCATTTGTTATATTGTTTCCTCCATGTCCATTTCCGCTAGATGGTGCATCTGAAAATCCAGAAAGCAGATCCACAGCATCCCCACCAGAGGAAAGTGAGCTCGCAACATTCTCATTCTGCAAGTTCAAGGATGTTTCCCCATATAACGAAGTGATTTTTGGTATCGTACTGGAACCTCCTTCAACAGAATTCAAAGATGAAGTCTCTTGTGTAAGGTCAAGGAGACCTGCCAATTGCTTGAAAGGATCCACGGATTGTAGATTAGTGGGAAAGGTTTCTCCTAAATCAAGTAAGTCACGCTGTGGCTGGACGGTTATCTCTCTCGTCACTGTATCAGGAGTTGCATTCTTAACAGCTTGAGATTTTTCTGCAGCGCGAATCTGAGCCTTTGAACCCTTTTGGCTAGAAGCAGATTGCCTGTTATCGGACTTTGAAGCAGCCCCAAAAAGTGAAGCAGCAAGTTTTTGCTTTTCTGGAGATATTTCTATAGGCTGCTTCCTTGAATCATAAGACAGATCGCGAGATTTCAAACTTGAACTACTACCAGCTCCAACCTGAGAAGCACCATTTTGAAATTTCTGGGTGTCCGCATTTGAAGTGGATGGCGCAGTAGAATAAGTTGGTCTACCCCATTTCTTTTGAACCCCATCAAGTTTCAGTTTTAGTTCTGATGCAGTACTAGATGCAGAGGGGAAAGATGGTGCAGCTTGGTGGCTCTCTGAATGATAAGTTGGCTCAGGTACTGGAACCAGTTCACTTGATGAAGCTTGCGTACTTGGAGTAACTCGGGATGGCATCACAGGTTTCGGTAGCTCATAAGCCTCAAACCTAAGGGAATGAGTTAATGTCTCAGGATGTTCCTGGCTTCTAAAACTGCTGACATCTATTATTCCAGACCGCTCATTTTCAGGAATGTAAGGCTGAGCCCCTTTTTCCAGAGACTGCTGAACGTAATTATTGAGGAAGGGAAGGCTTTTGTCAATCTGCACATGATTTAAGTATTTAATCATTTGTCAACCAAATACATGCAAAAACAGCTCACCAATTAGCTAGACTTTCTTCCGACCGAGAGTGAGAATGAATGAAAGAGTTCGGAAACAAACATTACAATACCCTATCAACCTAAGCAATATATGAGATGCTCTTTTTTATTAATAAGTCACAAATTAGATAATAATCATGGATGCTCCAAAACTCAAGACATAGTACAAGTTGCACAAGTTATACCTCAATGTCTTCGCAACTTGCATCCATCGGCATTATGTTGGCAAGGGCATGAGAATCTAAACCAAGGATTCCTTGAAGTTCATATGCACGCTGCTGTAAATCTGTTGAGTTGGATGCTAACAACTCTTCAATGAGTGATTGGCACTGTAGAAGGTAAAGTGAACTTGACAATGAGAACAATGGTGTTGAAACAAGTCCGAACAAAACATAGATTACTATACGTGCAAGAGTTTTTTCAACTCAATGCATCTCTCATAAGAGGCTTGTTTACCTTTCAGCCCAGTATACATAAATCATAGACAAAAAGTTATCCTTACATAGCATGAATCCTTTTCTGCAAGTATGCAACACTTTCAGTGTTCTTAGCTATTTACATCAAGTTTTCAGTCTCCCTGAACCTCAAAAGAGTGTTTAAGATCTGATCTAGCACTAGGTTTTTTTGTGTCTAGTATAAACCCATAGACAGGCCAATACATACACAATTAACTACTTTTAATAGAATTTCAAGCATCGACTAAGCTTGTACAGCAATTAAGCACAATGGTAAAATAAAAATCATAAAGCCGACCACAATGTGCAAGGGCTTACGGATTATATTGCTGTCACTATAAGTCTACAGAATGTCAGATATAAATAGTTTTTGAAAAGCAGACCCATGCACAAGAACACAATTGTAAGCCTGCAAAAAGTGAGATGCCAAAACTATTCCATTGAGGAACTCTAGACAACTAACACACAAGGAAAGCATATACTTTGGACATTTAACATAACATCCATGCACAAGAAAGAGGACTTGGTTAGGTAAATTAATTACCTCAGGGATGATGTCAACTTTCCTCCCAGCTGCTATTTCAAAAGAGTAAACTTTCATAAGTGCTGATATTGCATACGCCTTCAAAAGTGAAAAGAGAAAACATCATTCCTTCTGGAACCACCATCATGAATTATGTACACTCAAATACTTCCAAGTAATACTGAAAATTTATTCACCTAATATAGATATATCTAAAAGTTGAAACAGCTGGTCTATTCAGAATAGAAAACAAGTGTGGGGCCCAAAGATTAAAATTTGAGCTAGGTCTATAAACCTATCAGGTAAAATTTTCCATGGATTTGTAAGCAAAGAGTTGTAATTCGATCTCTTTAGTATCATAGCCCTCTAAACCAAAATGGTTATCAAATCTCTAGCAGAAGATATTTAGAAAATGTTATTACACTGTCCTTGTCCTAACAGATAGTTGTAGAAAACTGCTATCAACGCAAAACTTATGTATATTTCTTTTCAAATTTCAAATATGAGACTCTTCAACAAAATCAGACTAAGGAATTCTATAATAAAACTTCCTTAACAAGATTGACTTTATTGTGGAAAATGTAGCCCATTGTGAATAATAGTTCTGATAAACGTGCAAGAGCTGAAGTTCACAAGAATTATTTTCATACTTCTTATTTTACAAGAAGATTTGTGCATCAGGTGCATCTAATAGAACCCAGACCAGAGAGAAGAATATGATATCAAAAATATCAGCTTCAAGCCATCTATGACCCAACAAACCCCAACTCCACAACAATCAAAAGAAGAACAGGGGAAAAAAAAAACAAATGGTATAAATGGAGAACTAAATTCAGGAAATATTTAAAGGCCAAAACAGAGAGGAAAAGAGGGTGAATGAAGGTTAGAACCTTGACAATATCATCAGTAGAGTATGCCTCAGCAACATCACAAAGTTTGCCGGTAATATACGAAGCTGAATACTTTCCATCTGCAGTTCCATATTCCCCCAATACCCAACAAATAACCTACAAAAGTAAAAATCATTTGAAAAAGAGTGTTAATCATTCTTAAGAATAACAATAGTGATGGCCGAAGAAAAGAAAAGAGAAGCAAAACACACCTGGAGAAATGCAGATGGAAGCTTTGGATCTCCAATAATTCTTAGGTAAGATTCTACCTGCAATCCAGAGGTCCATCAGAAGTAAATCAGGATTGAATCCGCAGAAAAATACATAATTAAACATCAAAACGATCTCATAGGATAAATAGACACAAAACAATCTCAAAGCGTTAAGCCTCAACATACATGCTCGTGCTATAATCCTAATGTCAGATCTAGCAGGAATAGAACTCTGGAAACTAAAGCTGTCTTTCTACAAGTTATGGGCAAACCAAGAAATTACACACAAGATATCAAACAAAGCATCCAGTGACCAAACAAACATATACTTCCAGTGATGACAACTGTACACAACTCAAGACAGCCTATATCAAAAGATACATACAGCTCATATAACTAAGGGATTTGACCTTCTTGTCGGAACTCTGAAGAAATAATAGATCACACTAACCGCCATCTCCTATAATCGAAAAAAATAACATCGAACAATGAGATGGATTAACCAATAAGTCAAAGCCAACACCCAGAAACAACTCAATGGATGTGCAACATATCTCACAAAAATAATAAAATTTCCACATCACTTTTCTCATTTCAAGACGGTTGTTTGGCTTAACCTAACAAAGCTACCCAATAAAATAACTCTGAATTTTCAAGGGCAGCACATCCAAAGATTCAGATTCTAAACATTAATGTCAACCTATTTATATGGTGCCAACCAGAAGAAAGACATGAATGCTGTAGAGATAACTAAATGGGGAGAGATGTAAACAGAAATGAGACCGAAAAGAAAGAAAAAAAGTTAAAAATAGATGTCCATGAAAATGACGAAAACCACAAACAGCGCTCAGACTTGCAAATGGAAAAAATCACACAAGCTGTCGTCTGGTGAGCAAATGGAGACTATATTAATTACTTGTAACTTCGTTTAATTTTTTGGGCCAGCAAGGACAAAAGCTCAATCTCAGAACACTACAGCAAGTGTTTAAGCAAACTTTGTCCAGGAACTAAGTACTTGAGGTACAAGTGGGAGAATCGCCTCTAAAATCCTGATCCGGGGAGAAGACTAAAAAAAGTATTGGCCTTGGGAGGATGAAAAGATCCAAAGTGGAAAAGGACTAGATTTTCACTTCAAGAATATGAAGGAGTGAGTGGTATGTTAGTGGTTGGACATATAACTTGAACATGATGGGAAAGCAAAGATTTGCCCAGAAAATAGGATGGGACTATGTATTAATGCAAACCTGGTTCGGGAGCTAATATTTGTGTGCTACACATGGGAGTCAAATTTAGAGGTCCATTTCCAGGATGAGCCAAAAAAGATGTCAGCCTAAGTCTCAAGGATCGAAATGGATAATGTAAAGGTTTCGAAGAGGGAATGGTTGTAATGTCGCAAGTCAGGAATTTAAAGGGGAAGGGACCTATGTATAAGATATTGACATGTGGGTTACTTGCAACTAGGTTAAAACATTTCAGGCCATTGAAGCGGAAACCCACACTGTGCCTAAAGCAGCCCTACCTGTGCCTACAGCATTACAATAGTTTATCTACACACATGCAGTTGTAAGTGTCTAGGAGAGCCAACACAATCCACCTCCAAAGTTTGAGTAAACTACATATCTCTACTTTAATGATGATATGCAACCACAGATTTTCAGTTTAGGCAAATTCTTTCGTGGCATTCAATAACAAAAATCAGCTAACAACAGGGTGCCTCCAAGGTAACAAAAGAACATTGAAAGAAAAACATACTGCGGAAGATCTCAACTGACTATCTGCAGTATCATCATCCTCACCAAACCCCTCCGCAATCAGACGCATCAAGTTATGAGCAACCTTGATGTTAACTAAATCACCTGCGTGCTCAAACACCCTGTTCATAGTCTGCAGAGTAAATAGAACAGTATGAATCCACATTTTCCAAACTAAGCCTCAGACATTAGGCCTGAATTTGATGCAGAGACATCAAAATTACCTGGATGAACCATTGGTTGCTTGGTGCAAATTGCTCAGCAAGTTCAACACACCGGGATGCTATTTCCGTCTTGTAATGGTTATCATTAATGCTTATCATGTAATCAATCATGCGGTCAACAATTACTTCAACATTTGATGACTTGGTCATTTTATACAGCAGTTCAAATGTCTTCCTCTTGAGGGTATCATCTGGATCCTGCGTAAAAAGCATGTGACATTCAACTTTATTGTAGATGATTTTCAACATGTCACAAAAAGAAATGAGGGTTTAATCAAAAGATAAAGAACCCGTAAAAACTTGCAAATTATTTTCAATGATTAAAAAAATGTGCTAACATACATCACACAAAGTGAATGCGTGTTGATAAGAATGTCATTAGTAAAATAGATATGCATAATGCATTTTGTCTTTTGCCTATCATTTACACAATAAGAAAGCGATTAGGAAAAATAAATGAAATAGAGGTGGAGGAGGAGGGAGGAGAAGGTTCTTCAAGATAGATAAAAACTAACTGAATGATTATTTACTCAAGATCGACTATTACCCAAAAGGAGCAAGGTCAAAAGAAGAGGAGATTCCACATCAGATAAAATCACTTCATCCTTTCATAATACATAATCAAACGCCAAACTCTTAAGGAAAAACATATGAATTGAAACTCGTACAACAACATATCCAGTATACACCCAACTTCGTTGTGGTCTGGGGGGTCAAAATGTAGCAGCCTTACCCTGTATTTTGTTACAGAGAGGCTGTCTTAAGTATGACCCAACATGAATTGGTGCATTTGAAACTCGTATGCCAAAAAAGGAGAAAAAAAAAAGTATCACTACTTAAGTCCAGGAAATAATTCAGGTACTGCTAAATTCAGGTACTGCTAAATGCCAGGAAATAATCGTCCAGAATCTTTAAGAAACTCCAATAAAAACGAAAAGGTGCATTGTAAATGGCACATTAAACTAATAAGTAATAGAGGCAACTTTTCCATCAACTAGCTAACCCGTGTAAACTATTAGAGTCCATTATCATGCAATGAATAATGTGCTTCACCTCCAGACAATCTATGACAGCAAGTTGGTGCTGCTCAGCAACTTCTGGACTCAGCTTTATCAACCTACCAAGAGCATCAATGCCGAGATACTTCAGATTATGACTATCACTCTGCAATGGAAACATGATTGCAAAAGATCAATACCAGGAATTTAATTATGTTAATTAAAAAAAAAAAAACAAAATGGAAGTCATGGCGGAACCAACATAACTTAAATAACAAACCTTCAAAAATTTGGAAATTGCATCAGCAGCAGATTCCAAAAGTTTGGGGCTGGAATGTATGGAGGAAATACAGCATATAGACTCGTAAAGAACGGCATTCCCAATATTACTGGTTGAATCACATTTTCGCATTATATCTCCTATAATAGTATACATTTGTTCACTGGCCTTCTTGTCACCACTACCCAAAAGTGCCAGGATCTTCAAAAGTTTTATCTGCGTAGTAAATGATATAATTAGTTAACAAGTAAATCAGAAAGGTTCAATACCAATATGGAAGATAGTTTACACGTTTAAATGCAGTTGCATGGGAAGTAATACCTAGTAGTTTTCACCCATTAACTGAGAACCAACAACAACAACAACAACATACCCAGTATATTCCCAACTCGGTTTGGGTCGGGGGGACAAGGGGAAATAAAAAATGGATCTTTTCATTAAGATTTCGACTCATAGGCAGAGTTCTAGGTTTACTTCTGCACGGAGATCAGGAATTATTTACAACCTTAGGTGTTGCAAGATCTTCCGGCCAACGTAAATTTCACGGACTCCCAGTAACAGGTGAAAACAAAAAGGCATAATATTTTCTAGCCTAGATGATCAAGCCTAAAGATGAAGCAATTGCCATCTGTGGGAAGAAAAGGGTAAGGACTCTGGGAAACCCTAGCAAGAAACTTTAATAGAGAAGTAAAATTCATAGTGCAGGTAATTACTAGTTCCAAGAAAGTTCATTTTTCAAAAGCTCACACAGTAGCAAAGCATAAAGTTACAGGGATTGAAAAAGAAAGGGAAAGAAAAAAATTGCAGTTGTTGAAATTTTGTTGGCATTGTGGCTTTAAACAGCTAGTCTCACTTTGACCATTTTTAGTTGGATACTTGAAATTTCAAATAACATTTTTTTCCGTGGCTATTTTGACGTGGAAAATCTTCTACCTTAACTGCACAACAACTTGCTTCCGAGAAGGATTTGACAATTCTAAATTCTAACCCATCAACTCATGTGATGGTTCAGACTGATAACAGAAAGTTATCTGATTCGTACATGAGTTGACTGAACCTTTACAATTATCTCTACATGTGTGCAACCAATAAAAAAGATCCTACAGAAATTATGGTTATGAAAGGTGAGCATAGAATTATTTGATACACTTCCTCAATTGCGTCTCCACGTGACGAGATTTGATTAGTCTAAAACTTCTCAGATTAAGATTTTAAGGGAAAACAGTGGTACAATAGGAGAATGCATAGAAACTTTTGAGTAAGTAATTCAGGCAGCAAGAAAATTTTCATAATGAACTTCCGTGATCCAATGCATCAACATTACACCTTAAATATGCAAGTGTTATACACAAAACTTAGAAGCCAGACACTTGAATGGGCTAAGAAAGTTAATTTCATCCCACGGAGAAACCCTGAATATAGAAACATCCTTTTCATGCCTATTATAGCAAGTTGCAAGATGGAAAACTAGAGCCAATGTTTCTATTCAATTTAGAGATCACTGAAATTACTAAGTGTCCTCAACATTCATTATCCTTCATAGAGATTCAGATTAGTTGGTCTTTCCCAGGCATCTGTTATCATGGTATCACAATGTAGCCCTGCGTTAAATTTAAAATTTAACGGTAGCTATTGATGAACCCTGGTAATCGACAAGCCTACAGGGGAGTAAGCAAAACAAAACTCTTTCCTGATTAAACTATGTTCTAAACACCACCACAAATATGGAACTCCAGCAGAAGAAATCACTACCAGTCTTAGAAAAACGCAAAAGTAACACAGTGAAATCACTACCTTCGTGAAATGAAACTAGATGAATACAGACTCAGACTAGACTGCAACAAAGAGCAGCGGGAAGCTAAAGACATGTATTACAAGATGTAAGAATAATCTTACTCCAGAAATATTATTTGCACAAAAGAGTTTATTTTCCCGGCTCCTGTGATTCCTAAACCATAAAATGCAGCCCCCCCACAACCATGGAGAGAGAGAGAGAGAGAGAGAGAGATAGATAATGCCTATACAACAATGCAACCAGAGGTAAGAACTGCACGTGCAATGGTTCAACACATTTGATATGAGAATGAATACGTTGAAACTGGATCCAGTGAAATCAAAGAGAATACAGAATCTACATCAAGGACTCTGGCTCGGATTCAAGAAACTAGCATAAACTTACTGAAAAAATAGACAAAATAAATTAAACCTGACCAATATATTGCTTGAAATACCTGGATAAAAGGAGCTGGCATTTGATGATAATCGTAGCTCTTTGGCAGTTTGCGTTCAGCCACTTGTTTCAGAATGCTTACAAAACTGGTAACTAAATCTTTATAAGAATTGACATCGATTGTAATGAGATCGAAAAGTGGGCAAAGAGTTGCACCCATAACTCCTGGATCACTGTCGCACAGCCTCTGCAACATCAAAGATAAAAGAAAAAACTTACGGTAGCTTGACCTGACATATAAGCATTGAGATCCAAATAGTGCATAACTGGTGGCCTCATTTCGAACAATGGAAGAAGAAAAAACTTAGCCAAATGCATTATGCCTATTTATTAATGCTGTCACGGTCTAAATCCTACTAGCAGCAAACAAAAATTGAACAAGATTTTAACGGCATCACATAGCTAGAAACACAAACAAAGCTCTTAACCTATCTTCAATAATATGACTGGATTGGGGGTACTTAACTGGTCTTTTAATAAGTTACATCTAAATAAGATGGATGAGAGAAAAAATACTACTTCATATGTTTACTACATATGGTTGACAAAATCAAATCCTCATTGAGGCAGCATAACCTAAATTTTTTTATGCCAAAGATCAAAACCTAATTTGTTCTCGAACTAACTCTCCACAAATGAAATGAACATACATACATGAAAACCAGTTTATCAACAGAAAAATAGGTTTTAAGAAGTAGTCGTTAATTCTCTTCAACTTTTAGCAATGCAAATCAAGTAAGGAACTATAGTGCACCTTTCGGAAATTGGATACAAGGTGATTAACAGAAGAAGGTGATCGCTGATAAAACCGGTGCAATGCCATGATAGCCTTCTTTCTAACAGCCTCTTTTTGATGTCCCAACAACTCTACAACTTGAGGCAGCACAGCAGGTATAGTCTCCTCATTGATCAACTTACAAACAGCATTCAATGCGGCACAAACAACCAAATAGTTATCCGATTTCAGGTCCTTCTGTATAGTATTTACAATCAAAATAATCAAATCATGATCCTCATTCAAGAAAAGGGTAACAGCTAAATACCCAGTCCTCTTCAAATGTATATTATCATCATGAGTCATCTTGACCGCATGAATGTAACCAAAAGATGCGTCATGCCCAAGCATCTCCACATAAACAAGCCTGATAATGTACTCCTTCATCTTCCTCTTCGGAATATCCGGCTCCGATATCCGCCGCTTGAGCATCTCGATTTCATGCAGCACAATCCGATCTTCTTCCGCCTTGGATCGAGCTTCTCCAATAGATTTTATTAGGTCAAGGAATTCCTTGGATTGCCCAAACCCTCCTTGGGAGCCCATTGCCAGCTCCCGCCCAATGGTCTTTAATTGCTCCAGCTTGAATTCCTCTTAAACGAACCCTAACACGACCAAAATACACAAAATCTCCAAATTGAGGAATGATTCCAGCCCGAAGCGAACAAATTGAACGATAACTTCGGGCCAGGAAGAAAGGAGTAAGGTTAGATTATATCAATTACAGAGGATCTGAGAGCCAGAAAGTGAGAATTTTGACTGAAGATCCAGAGAGAGAGAAGAAAAAGGCAAGTGTGCAAAGAAAGATTAATAAGATTTAACAGAGAATTACAGTATATCAGTAACTCTGTTTCGTTTTGTTTTGTTTGTTTTGTAGTACAACAAAATACTACACGATTTATTTATTTATAATTTAGTTTTAATCCTTACTTAACTTTTGCAGAAAATCAAAAAGAAATAGTTTTTTAATCTACAAACGTAAATATCCTATAATATATTTGATTTTTTGATTTAAAATTTCAGAAGGAAATTAATATATATATATATATTTGAATTTTTTATTTGAAATTTCATTAGGAATTTAAAATATATTTGTATTTGATGAGTTAAAATTTCAGTGGATATTTAAATGTTTAATAATGATTAGCACTATGTGATATTTCTTCTTAAAGAAAAAAAAAAAAAAAAAACCCGAGGGAGACAAGATTTGTTGTTTTGTTTGTTTTTTACAGTGGTTTACAAAAGGAAAGCAATCTAAACTTTCATAATTAATTAATGTTTTTTGTTCTTTTATATACTGATGAAGTTTAACCCTTAAAATATGCATCTCCGTGGCTAAGAAGCCTAACTTAGCCAACGTATCAATTACTTCGTTGCCTTTAGCCCTTGCCTTTAGCCCTTCGTTGCCTTTAGTCCTTGTGGCTTGTCCATTAAGTTGTGAATTTCCACAGGATGTTGCTACGTTGATGGAATGGATTGTTTGGTTTTCATCAGTCAGACTTTTGACAGCTTTAGAACTGTCTATTTGTAAATAGACTTTTCTAAATTTTAACTATCATGCGATTTGTAACCCTAAAAAGACGGCCCAAAACTCTACTCCTACTACTAATAGTGAACTACACTAAATTCCAACATTTTTGTTAGTGACTTAAGTATGTCTTTTATTCTCCACTCATAATAATGTAATTTACCACATATATAGAAATTATGAACTTTCCAAAACTTAAAATTGCTAATCCAATAGTTAAAAAGCACCAAACATAAGAAAGGACATGCAAATTGCAAAATTTGTGCATAAAGAGATGGATAGATTCAAGAAATGGTAGAAGTTTATAAGGCTAGCGACCTTATTAGATTACTCTCCTTTAATAACCCTATTCATTAAGTTTTTAGATTAAACAGATAGCGAAAAGAGTCCAATAGATGGGTAACAAAGTTAAACATATGAAGATACATTTAATTCGTGCATACGCTTGCAACAAAGTACAAATATGTTTGTGCAATGCACTTTTCTTCACAAAGAATAAAAAAATAAAGAGTTTCTTCTATTTATTGATAAAAAGATATTTTGACTTTGATCAAATTCTCCCTATTTATAAAGGTCGAACTGTTGAGCGCCCTTATTTTTTCATTTGAATGCCTTCCGAAAGACGTATACGCTCTCCGCACATGGAGGTATGTTTTTTTTTTTTCAAAAAAAAAGGGGGGGAGGACGAGGGATAAATGCGCCAGCCGTTAACGGCACGGCTGGTACAGGAGAAACATAGGGGTGGCGTGTAATAAACTCACTTCCCTTAGGGAGGCGAGACAACCTTCGCCTTAGGCGAAGGAGGTGGCTCCAGATTTGGCAACCGATGGGTGGCACCCAAACGGGCGCCACCCATTTTTTTTTTAATTTAATCACTTTTTTTATTTTTTAATATATTTAATTAACATCATTTATTTATTTAAATTATTAGTTTAATAAATTTATTTAATTCATGTATTTATTTTATTAATTTATTTATTTTATTTGAGTATTTGTTTGGTAGTTTAATATTTGTTTAGAAAATTTATGTTAATTGGTAGTTAAATGGATAATCTATCTTAATAATTAGGATTTATGATATTAGTTTATAAAAAATATTAAACTTAAATATTTAGAGAATGTTTTTTAATTACGGATTTTGTTTATAGGTTGTAGTTGTTATATTAAATGAATTAATTTTTTGTTACTTATGTGTTTAGATTGTTATATGTTTAAATTATGTTAATTACGTAGTATGTTCGTATGAAATAGTTTGTTTCTTGTTAAATGGGTATTTAGGTAGTATGTTAATGGGTTTAGGGTTTAGGTGTTAGGGTTTAGGATTTTTGTTAAAATAATGAGTTTTTGTGAATAATGTATTTAGTTTGTTATTAGTATATTAATTATCTTTAAAGTATAAGATCATTATATCGGATTATATATTTTTTTTGCTTATAATGAATTATTTGCGGTTTAATATTATTAGATTTAATTTAAGTTATGATATAGTTCATTTTTAATGTGTGCAGGATAGGTTTGATCAGAGAGATGGATAGGATTATAGTTCGACTTTTGCTACAGGCGAGACTTTTGCCACGAAGCCTGAAGCTATTGCATGTGCGAAGGGTATTGCGAATATCTACAACATAGAGTTAAGTGTATAATCGTACAAGGATAATAGTACTGTACTCCTTTGTCATGAAGGAGGCCGGTACCAAGGTCAACAGGTGGATGAAACGTGCGCGCCCGACTCAATACAAAGACACAGATGACCGGATGCCTGTTTTGGATTACTGTTTACAAAATACATGATAGGTGGGCAATCCGTGTATATCCCGGTCCGTGGGGAATGCACAACCATTCATTGAAAGATCCGCCTCGAGTCAGGAGGCCACTGAGCGCCGAAGTGAAAGAGCTTATTCAGGAGTACTCTAAAGTTGGGACTAAGGCAGTCCACATTTTACGGGCGATATGGACACAATTTCCTGATGAAAAGGTTACCTCCAAACAAGTCTACAACTACAGAAATCAATTGCGTAACGAGGGGTTTCCAATTCTAGATGACATGGCTTCCATGGACGTCGTGGGAAAGGTGTTAGAGGTCGCAGAACAACACAAATACATCATCTTCACGGAGTGTGATGAAGAGACACAGAGGTTATCCCACGTGTTTTTTGCTCATCCGGATTCTTTGTTGCTGTTGCGGACGTATCCTTGGATTGTTTGTGTAGATTCCACATACAACACAAACAAATATAAAATGCCTCTTGTGGAGTTTGTTAGAATGACCCCTTGCAATCAGACCTTCCTCATAGCATATGCTCTCCTGAGTGATGAGACGGGGTACAGCTACCATTAGGCACTGTGGTAGCTCTGTAACTTGTATGGCGATGATCTGCATCCGAGTGTCATCATGACTGATCGGGAGCATGGACTGATGAGGCCTCTTGATGATGTATTTCCATCATCACATATTTGCATCTTGGCCACACCACTACTTGTAGAGTGGAGAGCCCACACAAGTTGTTAAAGGAATGGCTCGGCACAGCAAATGCTTCTTTTGAAACGATCTGTCACAGGGTTCACATATTACTCGAGACACAGCTTACACAAAAAGGTACTGGATTTCGACTTTACATTCTAAAATATGGTTATAATATATTTATTGTGCGTTTAGTTTGTTTAAATAATTTTCTTTTCATTCCTCCACAGGAGAAATTACAAGAATCAAGACAGAAAATAGGGAGGCAACACAACAAGTACCCTTTCTACCAATTAAGATGCAACGTTTCACACTACTGCTTGGATCTATTGAACAATGAGTTGGAAAGGGCACAGCAACTCGGAGATGATGTGTTTTGGGAATGCAATCATTACCTGAAGTGAACTTATTCGATCCCTTGTGCATGTATTCTGAAGCGGATAATGGAAGACAACTAGATTTTGACTCCAAAATACTTACACCAATTTTGGAGCACACTCGACATCGGTGAGGTTACAGAGAAGGATAGTTTGGATGATGTTCCCCCTCGCAGACTGTTGTTCAGGCAGTTAGTGGAAGAATTGGACGCTGCTGAGGAGCCAATACATCACGAGATCACTAGATTGATGTACAACAAACTTCACCCGGACCAAACCAGATCGAAACAACCGCGGGTTGGAAAGAGAGGCAAGGGCAGGCCGAAGAAATGAGGCATCCCAAAAAGGAAGCAATACAAAACAAATGTGTGGGCATACAGGGACGACAATCAGGGTGAGACAAATACCAGCAGTTCCAGTAAAGCAGGTACCAGCCAAGGTACCCCGGGTCAAGGTGGGACGAACACCCACAGTTCCAGTAGAGGCCATACGTCGGGAGCTGAAAATTTTACCAGCAGTCCAATATTAATTTATATTTTTAAATGTGAGAAATATTATTATCATTTAATTCTTATATTTTTGTTTCATGGCGTGTGAGCGCAGGTACATGGACTGGGCTAGGTGGGACGAACACCAGCAGTTCCAGTAGAGACCATACATCGGGATCTGAAGCCAATGTCGGAGGTATGATTATAATTTATATTTTTATTAAATTCTTATATGTAATCTAGAAATAATGAAATTATTTTACTTGGTTAAAGATGTGATGCAGACAGACTTTTCCAAGTTTAGGCATAAGAATAAGATTCTGCAGATACTCCACAACCATGTTCAGTCATATCTTGATGTCCAGCCTGACGACAATTGTGGTTTTCACGTCATTGCGAGTTGCATGTTGGGAGGGCAGAATAATCATGTTTTGTGCAGACAGATTGTGTATGATGAGGTTATAAATAACCCTGAGCTTTACGGGAACCTTTACGGGTATGACAAGTTTTATTTTGAAATACCTGTATAATATACTTGCATCAATGTTGTTTTATTTAAAACTTTCCTTTACTCTTCTTTGTAGGTGGGATAAATTACATGAAAGCCTAGAGTGTATACGATGGACTGGTATAAGCGATGGTCACTAGATGTTGACAGAGGACTTTTATCCCATTGCTACATATTTCAATGTTGTTGTGTACTACTTCAGAACAAATGGTGCTGTAAATCTAAATGGCACATGTTGGACTGTGCTACCACTGATCGCACGGGGCGGGTCAACAAGACTAGAATTCCAGATTGTTATTTGCCACCTTGAGCCCTACCAGCACTTCATTCGACTCAATCTGTAGGGTGATTTTCCGATTCTACATATTCACCCCATTTGGCATCACGATCGTGATAGTAGTGTTATTGGTTGGGAAGTACCTCTTGAACCCAGAATGCAGTTATGGCGAACTTTGGTCCCACAGGATCCCTCGAGAAGACCCAGAT